ACAACAATAATAATAATAATAATAATAATAATAATAATAATAATAAAATGCAACAATAATATTAATACCAGTATTTTTTATAATTTTTCTTGATTAAAAAGCTTGAGCTAATACTTCTGTTTCCAAAAAAGTATTTGTAAACCCTAGAATACTTTTACTTAAGTATGTGAATACTTCTGACACCTCTGCAAATTTTACTCTTCTAACAAACAAAAGACACATAAAAGACAATGAAACATGTGATAAACTCTGTCTTCCTATCACTTGCTGGATTGACAGAATTTTAACTTTTGACAGCAAACTTTTATTTTACAAGCTGAGGTTTATCTTCCTTTAAAACACAATTGTGTGAAAAGATTTTACACAGGTGTACTTTAACAAACAGAACTTTTGGTTCATTGTACACGTGTGATTTATTTTTCATATTTGTACATGTTTAGATATAAGTTCATAATTTTTTGCAGGGTAAATTCTCATCAAGTTCTAACCAAACCTATAACCTCTTTTTTGTTTCATATTCATTTCCGCAGAGTCTCACTTTAAAGATTTAAACTGTATGTTATTATTGATCTATTACAACAAAAATAATAAATGTTATTAATGTTTCAAATATGCTTTGAGATGTGCTGCTGATATTTACATGTATCAAATGACATAATCTATAAAAGTCACAGCATTAAGTTCACCTTTGTGACACTGTGTCAGTCCCACTCATCACCTGTCAGAGTGACTCCACATGACCTTTGAAGGTGTCCTGAAACACGAAGCTCCTGCAGACGGTTTCTGAGAGACTACAATCTGACTTTCTTCGATGTTCCGTCACATTCAGATCAGACATTTTGGGGACTTGTTATAAAGTTGATTCTGTTTCTACTTCTGTCTCTAGTAAACAAGGCTGACGTAAGATGAAATGAAATCTATCAGACCCAGATTCCACTGATAGTCCAATGTAGAAATATTGTTGTTAACAGTTGTGTTATCTGTGTCAGTAATTTGTGTATGTGTGTGTGTGTGTGTGTACCATGTTGCAGCTGCAGCTCTGTAATCCAGGATGATCCAGAACAGACTCACAGCTGTCTCTACTCCTAATCTCACATTCACACACTCAAAAACACGAGTCTCGTTGCGTTTTGGATATGGACGCATTCCAGACAGATAGAACCCACGTGGCAGTTTCTGTCCACATGCTTTCATCAGAATTTGCCCTCATTTGTTATAGGACGCATACAAGAGAATTTAAAGTGCCCGAGACATCACATTTTTGTAATAAATGTGAATACATTTTTTGAAAGATAACACTATATTGCAAAATAAAATAAATAAAAATAAACTTTATTGTTGTGAGATGAACAGTTAAGATATTTGCATGTGACGTAACAGGAAGTGATGTCAAAGGGGATTATCTGCATGTGAACAGAGCAGTGCTTATGGTGGCTGATGACACAGACTGTGGAGAAGAATCAGATGTTTCTTTAGGTTATTTTGGGTCACTATCCAAAAGACATGAAGAAGAGTCCGAGTTCAAATAAGTTTGTTTCAATAAATAAACACCAGGGTTTTCTTTCTTAAAGAGTTCCCCTTTGATGTCACTTCCTGTTTTCCTCTGGCTGAGCCAAGTTTTAAAAGAAACTAAGCCAGTTATGTGACAAAATGGGTAAAATCATGTGTATTATGCCAAGTTTATTAAATAGAAATGTTTTCTTCGACTTTTTGTATTTGAAGGAGATGTATGTCGCAGGCACTTTAAGATGTTTTTAAAAAATGAAACATATTTACCTTTAAGGGACGGTGGCTGGTAAGTTGACATGTGAACCAGTTTGGCTTTTAAAGCTCCATTTTCTCCCAAAACCCACTATGGATATAAAACAAGTGAATCACTGTTAACAGATACACGCCCTTTGTGTTAATGTGACTTTAGTGGAGTAAAATACCCAACAAAAACTGAAGCTTTGCATTACATAATATTAGAAATAAAATTGCCTGAGTTAATTTTGTGAAAAAAAAGATACAAAAAGCAAAAAAGATAAATGAAAATTTTGAAATTGTGCAAGAATTAGGGCAAACAGATGTATACGTACTGTATAAAAC